TTTAATCTGATGTAACGATAGCTTGAATGTGTTTTGTAGACGTACATTCACATTCGCTTCAACACAGAAAACGAAGAATTGACTTCAGATTTGACTTGACTCTTTTTTGTTTCTTAAATATTTTAGAATTATGGATTTCTTTACTATTGCTCTTCTCTTATCTGAATGATGGGTATGATCATGTGAAGTAGCCTCAACGAGGACATCATCAAGTATAGTCAGATTAGTTTTCCTACACAGGCAACTTGGACAATGACTGAGGGTGCCCAAAGAAGAATGAGCGCATTTGAGGCATGGCGTTGGCAAGGCATGTTGACCACACTATGAACTGTCAGAAGAATGAACAGATCTGTCTTGGAGGAAATGCAGCCAGAATACGCCTTAGAAGCCAAGATGGCGAAGCTTTGTCTTACAGGCTTTAGACATGCTATCAGGAGGAATGAGTCTCTGGAGAAGGACATTATATTTGGTAAAGTAGAGGGTCAACAGAAAAGAAGAAACCTTCAACAAGATGGACTGACCTAATGGCGAAACAATGGACTGAAACCTAGCAGCAACTGTGAAGATGGTGAAGAACCAGACAGTATTACATTCCTACTTATGGTTGCTCTGAATCAGAGGCTCCTCCATGGGACCGAATAACAAAACTTAAAGAAATCTGGGTTTTATAGTCTTTACACTTCTGTCTTCTCAAATGAATGTGTGAGTTTAAGTAGGTTACTATATGAAAGACCTTTCATAGCTTCTTCCATTCTGCATAATTAATTGTAAATTCCCATAAACCTATTCCCCGCTTTGCAAACTAGATGTATTGAAAATAAGTCTATTTTAATTTAAAATGGACTAAAGTAGTTCATATTTCAAAGGCTAGTGGTTTGAAATGCTAACTTGAGCTTAAGTGGTGGGTTTTAAATGTATAGATGAAAAGATGTCCTTACTGGGCTTCCAGGGACTAATATTCCTCTACCATGTATAAATGAAAAAATGGAGAATAAAGATCATCACACACACACACACACACACACACAGAGCTATTCTTACATCTAGGAAACATTTTGGATGTACTTTTTCCAAGACAGATCTGTTTGTCCTTTTGGCAGTCCATGGGACTTTCAATATTCTTTGTCAGTGCTACGATTAAAATGTATAGATTGTTAAAAAAATAGTTTAATCTTCCTAATTCTCATAAAGAATAAACTAGAGACTTCATTCTAAATGTGTTTAAATATTCCTAATTATATAATTTCTTACCAAAATCCTACTAAATGACTGTAATTATGTAACATCCCATTCTTTAAAAACACGCATGTTATAAAATTGTGTGTAAATGATCACAAATGTATCTTTTTGATATTAAAACAGGCAAGGAAAACAATACAGTGTTCTAGGAACACTATTTTGAGGTATTTTGGAGAAAGCTATATGTGCAATATAAGGTAAACCATGTGAAAATGTTATGTTTATAGCTCTAAAATAATGAAACACTAGTCATATTTTATGGTTCAACCTAATGAGACTAGATTTTCTATAAAAGATATTTTGAGTCATTGCTAGATTGTAAGAAGTAAAGAAAATAGCTAAAGATTAAAAAATAAAGAATTAAAGATACTTTTTGGCTCAACTAAGCACAAGAAAGTTACAGTATTCCTAAGGACAAAATATTCCAGTTCTGAGTTTGAGATCTAATTCTGTGCCCACACAAGATGAGGAAACCTGATGCAAGAATGTTACTATAAAGCTGTAAGTAATCTAAACTGATCCCATGTCTCATGCTGGAAGCAAAACAATCCTATTTAGGAGGGAAAAAAAGTCTTAAATTAGATTCCTGGCGTAACATTTTCAATATATGAACTCATAAACTATAACAAGATGCGTTAGTGACAATTAGCAGGACAAATATGATTTTCTATCCTCCATGCTTTAGGAACTCAATACAGGAGACTGAATAGATACTATTTGTCAATATAGTTTCAGCCTTGAGATGGAGATCCATGGAAAGAGCATGGGTCCTACATGACTTAACAAGTAAATCATTGAGCAAACTGCAAAGTAATGCCTTCTCTTGACCTTATTAGTGAACTGAGGTCTCAGTACAAACAATGACTTAGAATCTGGTGGGAGGAAGGAGTCTGCAGGAAGAAAGGGGCCCTAACCTCATTTATATTGCACAGAAGCAAGACTTCAAACAGGTTCTTCCCAGGTCAGCGATCTATGGCTAAATAGACCAGGACAGACCTGAAGTGGTAAAATGTGGGATCATCAAAATGGTTCGATACCCTGCT